AAGGTTTCCAGTATTTTAAAACAATAAAAATTTGATTAAGACAATAATTTTGTAAAACATACCGAATGAACTTTCATAGAACTACTTCTAGTTTTTCTCTATAAAAATAGTGAAAATACATGTATACTATCAAGAGTACAGCCATCATGTACTCTTGATACTATGCAAAACATACAAAAGGAGGTCTTTGAATTCTTTAAAATAGCATTAATTAAATCAACATTATGTATACAGTGTATTGTACAAAACATACCGGATTAAAGCCTTTAGTCTTTTAAAACAATTTAAAACCAATAGATTAACATTACAAAAACACTAATTTAAAGCTTTGCTTAGCAACAATTAAAAAAATTAAATACATGTATGTGTATTGGGCAAAAATTCCCAAAATCCTGATCACTTACTGAGTCAGAATAGATAATACATAGACCACTAATTAATATTTTTCAGGATAAAATTTTATAAATGAATCTAATCCATAGCTCCTGCACTAATTGCTTGCAATCACAAAAGTAACTGATATGAATTTAGCTTCTGGCAATGCTTAATGATTGCTATTGCAAGTTTAAAACAAACAAATTAGACATCAACTTTTTGTAAATTTAGCTTGTCCTATCCCATAATATTAGAATAGTTATTTGTTTTACTGCAGAATCTTGCATTAAAACAACATAGCTGCTTTAAAACTTACGCATGGTGATATGCTTGATTTCTTAGTAGACTACAAATGAATAAAACCGATAAATAATAATTATTTTTGTGTATACTTTTTACCGATTGATCAGCAAAATTATCATCAGCATCATCCTAAAGCAACAAATCATATATAATTTGAAAAAATTAAAGCTCTTATCTCGGCTCTCATAGAGATAGGAACAGGGGTAGGAGGGGCTAAAATTTTGGTTAGCATGTGTACGACCTGCATAGGCTTGATTATATATTGCAATTAAGTTGCAGTGTTTTAGCCTTTTAGAGCTATATGAAAACCAGACTTTAAGCACCTCAACTTTAACATATTCAATGGGTCATATTATTAATGCATTAATCAAGTCCCTTTAACTTTCAACTCATTCCTACCCCTATGGCAACTAGCTTGCACCCCATGATTTGCAAAAATTAAGTGTAAAAAATCTAACTTAACTAATTGTGTTTGAAATTAGCCTGGACCCATCCCAGACTATTATGGTATATCTATAGAAATTTCTGAGTGTACATAAATCCTAATACTTACTTCTTTTATTGCAGAATCACACTAAATTATTTTATGATACTCAAGTTGCTGCTTAACTTACTACTAGTTCAAGTGATTTTGATTTTATCTTGAATTTCCTCTTGGATTCATTAAGAAGCTACAAAATAACAGC